GGGTGTCTGTTGTGGGGAGGGGAAGGAAAGGAGATTTTAAACTGCTCTGAGGCTCCGAGTGAAGGGCGGGATAGAAACTGAACCAAATAAATAGTTAATTGTTTAACCTTTATTGGCATTATAAAAGGGAGAACATTAAGACAAGTACATAAAAGGATTGAACACAGAATAAATCACAAATTAAAATGTCCCAAAATGACAGTATATTGCTTCGTATAAGAACAGCAGCAAATAAAAACTTTGCCACAGAATCGGTTATGTTGTCATCAGTGTTGTTAAGCAGAAAAACCAATTTATATGTATAAGGAGAATCCATAATGTTGGATAAAATTGAGGATAAAATACTTTAATATTATCATTATAATGACACTCTAACAGCACATGAGGCACTGTTTCAATAGTTCCATTTAAACAAGGGCAACGTCTATTATACCCGGAAATCTTCCAGTTAAAATCGCTGAAGGTAAAACAGCAAGCCTAGGAAAAGAAAAAATTCTACGACGTTTTGGAGCCTGTAGTTGGTAGAGGTAACTAGGAAGAAGTCCTACAGTGGGAAACATCCCATGGCTAAGGGGAGAGCGGGTGTTATTGGCCGCATTGTACAGATTGGATAGCTCTACCTCCAATAATCTGTTCCTTATCTTTTGAAATGCCTCCGTTTCCGACCGTAAAAGGAGAGATTCGAATAAATCATCATCTCGGTTGCCCTCCTCTGCACTTTTTCCAGCTCTGCAGTGTCCTTTTGGCGATAACGGTGACCAGCCCTGGGTCAACACTTTCACTGAGCTATTCACTATGACCCCAAGGTATTCTCCCCTCTCAGTCTTAGCAAGTTCAGACCCCATCAGCCTATACTTGAAGCTAGGATTTTTTTCTCCCAATGTGTATCACTTTACACTTACCAACCCTGAACTTCATTTGCCCCATTGTCGCCTACTCACCTAAGAACATAAGAACATAAGAGACGCCAATGTTGGATCAGGCCAAAGGCCCATCCCGTCCAACACTCTGTGTCACACAGTGACCAAAAATACCAGGTGCCATCAAGAGGTCCAGCAGTGGGGCGAGGACACTAGAAGCCCTCCCACTGTTGACCCCCCCCCAAGCATCAAGATGACAGAGTCCCTATCTATACCTTGTGGCTAATAGCCACTGATGGACCTCTGCTCCATATGCTTATCTAATTCCCTTTTGAAGCCGTCCATGCTTG